GAGAACTATATGATTTCATGATTGTTTCAAACGGGTTTTACACTATAACTCAGCAAAACTTCAACCGTTTGGACTGAAATTTTTAGCACAAATAGACTATGAGATGGGTAGTTGTTTGAGATAATTTTTGCTTCAAAACATCTCATTCAAGAAAAAACTTGTATGTCCGAGTATTTTGTGTGTGTTTTGTATTTATAGTACAAAAGTGAATAACAGTATTTGAGGCAAAAGTTCATCAAAACTCTTTGAAAATAGCTTTATTATGTTACCAAACGATTATCCACTAAACTCTGCATTGAATAAACTAGGAACAAAGTAAATTTAACGAGAGCCCAAAAATAGCTCTTATGCGCCCCCATTCTTTGATATTGAGTAATTTCTCTTAATCTCTGCAGACGACGTATAGGTCATTCCAAATAGAAAGCTCACACGTAGGAACTCAAGATGCATTCTGATTACCAGATTCATAGTATAACTGTTTCTATTATATTTAGTGAATCCAAACTAAATATCTTCACCCGATCAGTCGTTTCAAACACCCAACTCGAATTTAATTGAAACTTCCAATTTCAACTTTTAACTATAAATTTAAAAAAATCCTTCCGCCGTAGTCTCCACTGTTGCGATCGCACTTATGTGAGATTTTGTGTTAGTCGTGATTCGTGAAACATCTTTCGCCGCATCATCATCTCCTATGACGATGTATGCGTATAAGATTCTCAGAGTGATGATTAGACGCGCACCGAACCCGGGATCTAGCTTGCTCATTCCGAAGTTCGGTCATCAGGAGGCACCCTTAGGTCCTCAAGTCCTACCATTAGAGGCTACCCTTGGGTCCTCAGATGCTACTATAGTGGATATCCTTGGGTTCTCAAGGGCTACTATGGGGAGTACTCTGAGGTCCTCAAGAGCTACTATAGAACGGTACTCTTGGCCCTTAGCCCTACGATCGGCCCGAACATGCCCACGTATTGTATTTACAATAAGAGAGAAAATTTAGAGAGTATCCTTATTATTCGTTTATGCGTAAAAACAAAACAGTACATGCTTTTTTGGGCCCGCACTGTAGTGTTGGGATGGGTGGGGATCCATACACATGCCCATCAATCAATAGAGCATCCTCGATAGCCCAATGATCGGCCTGAACATGCCTACGTGTTGTCCTAATAGTAAGAGTGGAAGGCTATCTTGAAAAAACCGGCAAAATACGACCGCTTCTAGTCACTATAATGCTGGAACTGAGTAGCACTTCCTGTTCGCATTTAGTAGCAGCTCATCATCTTAAGAAATGAAAAAGTCCGAATTCAGGAAAGAAGGCTGATGTGCAAGAGTATTTCAGGACTCATGGAATTCCTGTCTAGGGGAACTTCCAGAGGCATCAGTACACCTAAGATTAAAATTTGAGTCCCCACAGGTACGTTCCAGAAATAAGATTAAGGACCAAGGATACACACTTATTGTAGCACTTGAGGACTCGATGGTGTAGATGTGGGATGTGAGTGTGGGTATGTGGGTGCGTGTGTGGACGTGCGTGAAGAGAAGATTACTCCCTCTCCCATACCCACACCCCGCCCCCTTTAATAAAAAGGCTATCTTTGGAAGCATAATTATAAAAGAAAACACGGAAGTGCATTTATTTTGTTTTTTGCTTATTCATAGATAATGTTACATTTATTTTCATGTTGCCGTTGCCCTTCAAGACTATCAAGGTCGATGCCTAACGCACAACATTTTTTATAATCACATAGATGTGAATTAAACCACCATTGTGATTGAGGTAATAAACCAGGATGATTATCTGTAACACGTATTAATAATCCTGTACAAATGATCGACGAGTCTGGATCATTAAAGTCTACGATAGTTTTATTTCGATTATCAATAACCCATTCAATATCTTCATTTTTTATATTTGAATCAATAGTGGTACCGTCCTTCACGCTCAATGTTTCCTCATCTGTTTTTTTAATATTATTTGGATGAACACGACATTCTAGTATAAATTGTAGATATTTGCCAGATTTAAAAAATGTTTTTTGATGTGAAGAATCAATAGGCATGATTTCAGAATATCGCGGATGAGATGCATAGTTAACAGATGGAGTAGCATATATTCCATCGCCATATGCTTTTATGCGTGCTGGTTTTAATCCACTCAATAAAATAGATAAACCATTGGAAAATTTTGTACCATGATAGCATATGCACCATCCTTTAAATTTTTCATAAAATTTATCAGTAACATAAAGTGAACAGCGTTTCCATCCAATAGGACAATAATATGGTTTATTTCCACGATCTCTTCCATCATGAAGAGGACCTTCCCAATAGTTATAATCACGATCATATATACGATTATATTGTGGATTGAGTTTTATTTCTGTACGATATTTTTGTATTTTAAATAATGATTTAATAGGACCCATAAAAAGGAAAAAAATCTTCATTTTACCAAATTCTTCTTGTAATTTATCTGTAATTGATTGATATATCATTTTTAAACGAAGTTGTTTATCATTTGATCCGAGTTTATCAGGAATTTCTGCTTCTAATATAGATGAACCTACTTGTATTTGTTTCACAACAATATCATCTATGTTTATATCTAATTTATTACAAAACTGGGTCAAAAAACTTTGTAAATCAAATTGATTACACTCTTCATCAATACCAATTTTAAGTGATGATGATTTTAATTCAATATTATTATCAAACACTTCTTCAGCAATAGATATTAATGGTTTTCCTGTAATGTGATAATATTCTTTACATTCCTCATAATAACTTTTTTCTTCAAATGATATCGGTTGCTTTGACAAGAAATCTTTTGTTGATAGTTTTGTTGCAGCTGAAACCAATAAAGAACGATAACATTATTATAAAAAAGAAAACTAATATTTTAGAAATTGAAAGTATTTAATCTTTGATACTAAAAAGTAAGTCAAGACTAGACATGTTTTCTTTCGAGTGTCTCAGCTTTCACCTCATTCTCTTTCGAACTACAGACATATGTCCAACCGGTGATGAATTTCTGTGCTTCAAGATTCATGATCAGATTACGTAATAGAAAATCTGGGATATCGGATTGACACGACCGAATGTTTGAAAAATAATGCGTTTTCCTATATCTGACGTAGCGATTGGAGAACGTAACTAACAAGGTTGAATGTTTGAAATGTATTTCTAACAGTATTTTTACAGAAAAAGACTGAAAAAAAACAGAATGACACTGGCAAGTAATTCATAACGGATATAAAGATTCTTCTTTTTATTTTTATAGATATGAATGATTGTAAGACAAGCGTGTCATTTCATACTCTCTCAAATTCGACTAAATCTTAACATAATTACAAATATTCGCATTTTTTCATTCTGAACATATTTTCTTTGTCATTGTGTACTTTCAAACTTCTTCATTCTGACCTCCAGTCAAGATTTCACCGCTCAACTACAAAAATTAGTTGTCAGAGTTTCTTACGAACTCCTAGATAAATTTCATTTCGAACGTTCTGTCTTTTTTTCTTATGCCCGGGGATCACAACGAAACAAGGAGACGAAAACTAATTTTTCTTTTTCTTTCTTGATTGACTTGTAACTTGTCCCATAGTTCTATAAAGAAAAACTCGCTTTAATATTATATGATACTTGACTATCTTAAGATCAACATACTGATTAGTTATGCAAGACTCACTGCGAATATGATTCAAAATTTAAGAGATTAGCATCAATTTAAACAGACATACTATAATAGTCTTTAATAGGAATTGATTCTGGTTTTGAATCGCATTTCTATTCAATCTTTCAAGATATGTTCATCTGGTAGTACCACAAATCTTTAGTTATTTTTAAATCAACATTCACCAACTACAGCTCTTGACTATATTTTGAACTTATTTTTACTTTCATTCTTTAATGGAATTTTTTGTATTAGTAGTCTCTATTGTCTTACCTGCTATTTCAGCAACTACCAATGGAGGCTGATGGAAAACACATGTGGATATATGATTTTTAAGGTCATTTCGTTGTCCGATCCATGGACATTTGTTATTCATTGCTGGGCAAGACACACGAACATTGGGACATTCTTGGTTGATGTGATCATCGAAATTTCCTCGTAATAATTCCGTCTGTCCACAGAGTGTACATTCGATTCGAAGTTTTCGAAGCATATTATTTAGAGTATCACTGATAGATGACAGATTATTAACTGACACAAGTTTACCACATCGAGGACACGGTGCACAATTCGTTATCATTCGTTCAATAATACACTCACGACAAAATATATGATTACATGGTGTAGATATTGGATCTATAAAAGGCCTTCTGCAGATTATGCATAATAGAGTAGGACCAATAGACTCTTCATTCATATATATGTATTGATTATTGCTGTCCATTTCACTCAAATAGATTATTATCTAGAAGAACATTTAATTATATGCAAAAAAAAAGACAAGTGTAGATTCTGTAAATATCATTATATTATCGACTGTTTTGTAAAAATCTATTTCTCATCCTGTAAAAAAGTAGATTGTATAAAAATAAAAACATGTAATAACGAGCAAAACTTTGTTAATGTTGCAATAAACATCAACTCTCTAAGGTAGTACAATTGATTTTTATAAAAAACTATAACGCACTTTATAAGTGTTATGATCGAGTTTGCTTTTTTCGAATTTTGTTCAACCTTCTGAAGGAATTTGTTCTTCAAAGTTTGTCCATCCACAGTCAAATTCGATTTCCATTTATGATACACGACCAAAAAGCTAAATATGAAAACTGCGTAGTTAGATTGCTATGATGAAGTCAAAAGTAACTGATTGCTTTTGCAGAAAGAAAACAATAATGAATTGTTTTTCTACCGTCACACATTGTGTATAAAACAAATCAAATTGATTTTTTAGAAGAAATGAAGAATTG